CTCCGGCGCCGCCGCTGCAGCTCCCGGCTGTCTCCCTCCCACGTCTTCCGGGCCTGCAGGTAGGCCGTGTTGGCCATCAGATTGTCCAGGCCCCCCATGTCCACCATGGCTGAGCACAGGGAAAGGAAAGGCGGGATGGAGGGCTGCGGGGGACTCGGCCGGTCTGGCTGCCCGCTGGCTGGTTTGGGTTCCCAGGTTCAGTAACTCCCGCGGGATTTGCAGGGAGGCCTCTGGTCTGCGGGTGGGACTGGCGGGGGCTGCAGAGAGAGGTTTCCCAGGTAAGAGGCTTTGCTGGCTATGTATAGCTGGTCAGGGAAGGGCACCTCGCAGGTGCCCCCTGTCCTCCGAGGCCGCGCAGCCTGAGACACCTGCCGGGGCACCTTGGGCGTTACCTGGCCTCCCTCTGCGCACACCTGCTCCCCGAACACACAGCAACCAGTTTCCGAGGGAAGGGGTCAGAGTGAGGTGGTGCCACGTGTGTGTTTTCAGCTGTTTCTAATTTTACACGTTTCCCAGCAGCCTCAAGCTCTGTGAGCCCCGGATGACAGGTCAGGAAGAGGACCTGGAGAAGCTGGAGAGCTTTTCCTCCTGGCGACCAGCAGCCTGCGGCAGAGCAGGCTACAGAAGAGGGTGCTCTGAGCTCAGGGTCCTGAGACCTGTCCCTGGAGGCCCTCGGGGACTCGTGGCCTCACAGTGCGTTGTGCTCTCCCATAACCCCCCACCCTGAATGGCCTGCAGAGGTTGTCCAGTTGTGGCTCTCTCAGTTCTGAGGAATCTGTGGCCTAAGGTACCGGGTTAAAAAAGGGGGAGTCACCTTGACCCCAAACATCCCACAAAGTGACACAAGCAGGAAGAGCACACCAGTGCACACATGTGGCCAAGACCGTTCCTGGGGCACAATCTGAGTGCAAGGGAGCCTTGACGTGAGGCCCAGGGTAGGCAAGTTTCAGGGTGGCCCCTCAGCGTCTCTGCCCACATCCCTCGAGGAGCCAGGAAGCTTCCCTCCACCGAGATCGCTCAGAGCCGCCCCAGACCACGACCTCACAAGAACAGAAATTGGTTTAGACAGAGATCAGCCTAAGAACCTCTGCTCCAAAAATAACACTTGTGTCCTACGGGGAAAGAATACTCAGGCTTTTTCTCCATAAAGGAAGGCTAAGGCAGCTTGAAAACAAAGTCATTCAGTATTATGCCAAAGTGCTTAAGAGAGGAGAGGGAGAGGGAGGGAGAGAGAGAGAGGGAGAGAGAGAGTCAGTTTTTCTCCAAACAAACAATCTCTAGCACACGCTCTGTCAAAACATCGCGGTGACGCCCCAGTCTGCGTGGCAGAGCCTGCAGACCGTAGCCCAGCACAGACCCACACTTGGCCACATGCTACCGAGAATTATGTAATGAACTCGTGGGCGCCCTTTGGCTCTGCACCGCTGCGCTGGGAACTGTCATCCCCGTGGCAGAGAGGGGCGCCCGCGCCGTGACCACTGCTCAGAACCGTGCCAGACGCTCGGAAACCCACCCAAGAGATGCTGGTACCTTTTTCGTTCTTGACGTGTCATCCCGGGTCCACATTCCCGAGTAGTGAAAATCAGTCTGAGAATCTCTCCAGAGGAGGAGATGCCTTTTCTCGGGGCCCTTAGGGACACAGTGACAGTCCGACAGGGCAGAACCTTGAGAAAAAGGTAGAATTGTCACTGAAAAAAAGTCTGCTTTTCACGGATGAACATATACGCTACCAACTGCTTGATTCCCCTCACACAAATACTTTCTTTATCCCAGTTTTGTTCAATAGGGACATGCCGAACCACAGATGGAATTCAAGATGTCCTAGTAGCCACATGAGAAAGGTTAAAAGAAACAAGTGAAATGAACTTCAATAATGCATTTTATATAGCAGGAGATATTATCATTTCAACATGTAATTGATGTAGAAGTTGCTAATGGGATATTGCACAGCCTTTTCTGTGTTCTGAGTGTTTAGAATCTGCTTTGTATTTTACCCGTACCACACATCTCAATTCGAGCCAGCCCCTTTCAGATGCTCAGTAGCCACATGTGGGCAGCGGCTGCCTTATTAAACAGCTCAGACTTAACCCCTCTTTTGGTAGCTTTATCATGCATAAATAAGAGGAAGTTTGTCTTATTTTTGTTTGTATTCTAATTAGTGATAGCAAAGACCATCTGGGTAAAAAAAACAACAACACACTCTTGCAGTAATTGAAAGTGACCTGACTAATGAGAACAAAATTTAGATAATAATTTGAACACAAAATTTAGACGTTACAAAATGACTATTTGTTGCCTCCTGGCGATTGTAAATAGAGTATCATTATTTTAAAGTCTTAGCCACCTGAAAAAAAGGGGTCTATTTAAAATGGAATACTTTATGTGGCTGCTAGCAATTAGGGTTGAGGTCCCAACTTAATGAAACAGCCACTGTCGATCCAATTAAAGAACAGCATTGAGTTCTTAGCTTAGAAGCAGAGCCAAGTGCTGGGCACAGTCAGGATACCCTGCACCAATGGGGAAAAGAGCCAGGAATCTTGGATTGGAGATGTGGCCAGATGGTTACGAGAACTAACTTCAGCACTGCTTGGGAAAGCTGAGTCCTGTGGCTAGCAAGTCCTAGCTGTGCGATCTTCAGCATGTTACTAAACTTCTCTGAGCCTCAGTCTCATTAACTGAAAACAGAAAATAATGGAATAAGTTCTTGAGGGAAGTCAATGCCAAATAGTGCCTCGCACAACGAAGTGATATTAAAGTATCAGCTTTTAAATAATTACTACAATCATCAACACCTGATTCAAAAGTTTTTCTGATGCAGACTGGAGTCCGGAGCGACCTAAGCGATGTGGAAGAAGTTGGGTTCCTCCGTCCAATGTCCACCCAGCAGAGAGCAGCCAACTCGGGATTTTGCATGATCATCAACACCTGATTCAAAAGTTTTTCTGATGCAGATTGGAGTCCGGAGCGACCTAAGCGATGTGGAAGTTGGGTTCCTCTGTCCAATGTCCACCCAGCAGAGAGCAGCCAACTCGAAATTTCGCATAAGCTTGGAAAGCTGTGGGGTCTGGTGGAACTGGAAGACAGGCAGATCGGATTAATCAACATGCAAGATTTCTAACAACTAACTATTGCAACTAAATGATTTACTATACACCCTCCCCCCACATACACACACACAGAGTGAAAAGAGGAGATATTTCATTTTTGAAAGAAGAAAATAAACTTTTATGATAGGAGAAAACAACAAAAATATTTTAGTATCTTTTATGACTAATTTTGTAAGCTAAAGAAAAAAAATGCTTTTTGCCCAGATCTTCCATGGGATTTTGCATCATGAGGTGTAAAGCATTGTCTGTGATGTATATGTCCTTAAAGTTTACAATGCTCTGATGTCATTCAACATTTGAAACAAAAAGAACATAAAAAGTTTAAGTTAATGATTAGAAATAGGGTATGCTTAATTTGCTTCCCTTTCTGAGAATTTTAAATTTTGAAAATACAACCTAGAAGAAGGAAAAGAGTGAAGCAAGGTTTCTAGTAAGAGCATGACCTTCTTTTACAATGAACACTTCTCTGCACGGTCTAACAGCACATCTATTTGAGGATCAAGAATTATAAAATAGCCCTAACCGGTTTGGCTCAGTGGATAGAGCATCAGCCTGCGGACTGAAGGGTCCCAGGTTCGATTCCAGTCAGGGGCATGTACCTCGGTTGCAGGCTTGATCCCTGGGCCCCAGCCTGTGTGGGAGGCAACCAATCAATGTGTCTCTTTCACATCGATGTTTTTCTCTCTCTCTGTCTGTCTCTCTCCCTCCTTTCCACTCTCTCTAAAAATCAAAGGAAAAATATCCTCAGGTGAGGATTAACAAAACAAAACAAAAAGAAAGAATTATGAAATAATATAACTCAATATTATATGATCTCAGAAACAGAAGGTATTTTGAGCAGTGTAAGTTCTGAAGCAGACTAATATGTTAGCATTAAGACATCCAATGAACCCAGATTATTCTTCAACTTCTGGTTTAAATTCTTTCATAGTAAAGATTTTGCTTTTTTCTTTCAGTAGAAGACAAGTACCAAAGGAAAAGCTGAGGGTCTTTATCTTTCCAACAACAGCAGATCACATTTTATATTTTCATAGTTCGATGAAATCAGGATGTCTTGTTGGTTAAAATTTTTTGAATACTAAACAGAGAAGACATGGAGCTAGATGCATTTTAGACTATTGTTTCCATATGGTCACAGAAATTTTCTCACAAAAATGTAGTTTTTAAGCACAAGATGAAGACAAAGAAATGATGAATGATGAGGCAAGTGTGAAGGATAGTTTTGGCGGCATAGTTAATGGAAGCATAATAACCGCGATACCCTGTGGTTAGAGGCCATCATAGAAGGAGGCACTACAAATCAGCCGTGGGCAAACTATGGCCCGCGGGCCGGATCCGGCCCGTTTGAAATGAATAAAACTAAAAAAAAAAAAAAGACTGTACCCTTTTATGTAATGATGTTTACTTTGAATTTATATTAGTTCACACAAACACTCCATCCATGCTTTTGTTCTGGCCCTCCGGTCCAGTTTAAGAACCCATTGTGGCCCTCGAGTCAAAAAGTTTGCCCACCCCTGCACTACATCCAATGGGAGCATTGAGGAAGGAGCAATGCATTTCTAGCTGTCAGGAAATGTCCATTGAAACCAAGCATTTTCTTTCAAATCCTTCAATGAAAGGAACTTGCTTACTAGGAATGGCAATATTTTCCAGAAATTTACAGATTTCCTGTTTTCAACTGAAAATGAGAGAGGCATGCTGTAGAGAAGACGGTAGCCAGCATGTTTTTAATTATTATAAGCATGTTTTCATGGTCTCTCTGCCCCCAGTCTTTCTTTAGCTCAAACCCATCTTCGACAGAGACGGACGATCTTTTAAAGAGCAAATCTAGTAATCTTAGTCTGTCAAGCATTTTTTTTAAAGTTTTGACTTTTATTTTATTTATTTTAATATGTTTTTATTGATTTCAGAGAGTGTTAGGGAGAGGGAGACATAGAAACATCAGAGATGAGAGAGAATCATCAATCGGTTGCCTCCTGCACACCCCCTCCTGGGGAGTGAGCCCACAACTGGGCCATGTGTCCTGACCTGGAACCAAACCTGTGACCTCTTGGGTCAGCACTCAACTACTGAGCCACACAGGCCAGGCCAAGCATGTTCTTATTTACTTCAAACATTATCCAACAGTCATAGACTGAGTTAAATAACAAAATAGGTAACTTCAGTGTTGACCAGTCTAAGCTCTTACTGTACATGAAGAAAATTGATACCAGAAAAAAAAGTGCCAGGTTTGGATTAGGAACTTGGGGCCCCCTCTTCAGTGAAGGGCTTTTCTCACTGGGAGCTGCCCCTGTGGCACAGAAAAGCTATGGGGTCAAAAGAGTCCCGTCTGGACTGGAAGAAGCTGGGGTTGGCTTTAGAAATTATTCTTGTGATTTATTTCCTATCAAAATGGCAAATTTTCTAATTTTAAGGTTGGTGTGGTATCATGGTTATAACGCTATGCATCTAGTTCAGCTCCATTTTAATTGCTACTGAAACAATTACCATGCATTCAAAGGAAACATTACTGTAACAACAGGAATTCTGACCTTCCTTAAAAGCCATACCAAGAATACACAGGGAAAAATTTTGCTTTGAGGCTACATAACATAGAAGAAGTTGCAAATGCTTTAACTGGGACCACGGAATCCGCAGGCCTGTTTAAAGTTTCTTGCTTTCATCATAAATTAAATTCATAAATATTGAACCTTAGGATTCATAATCTGGCATAACATAAACATCTTCCTCTTTAAACAGGACTCTGATTGTTTTAATAATGACTACATACCCATAACAGAGGATATTCTTCTTCAACAAGGAGCCACAGTAGCTGAGAGAGAAAGTTAAGTAATTGGTATATTTTAAGAAAACAGAAAATACTTCCTGACTAGAGAGGTTCAACTTGCAAATGTATTATGGCAGATGTACAAAAGAAAGTGCGTCCACAAAGTGAGACTTAAAAAATCTATTAAAAGTAGATTTTATTAAAGAAGTCTAAAAGATTATTAGAGAAGACCAAACAATGCAGTGCTAACAACAACAGCAACAACAACAAAAAAGCAAAATAAAGTCCACAAAGCATATACTTTGATATGTACGAAAAATGTGGGAATGAGTTGTAAAATTTCTTGTGGTTATAATAAAAAAAGGGGGATGAAAGTCAAAGTTATTTTCATTGGAACACAAAAGACTATTCTGGAATGGAGAAGTATTCAGTGTTTGCTACAAATTTTGGTAAGTCTGCTTCTGAAACTTTCTTTTTTCATATTCAGTGAAGAATAAAAACAATTGAGAGTTGAGAGAATAAGGGAATTATAAGGAAACATGAACAAATTAAGCATTAGACCACAGCTAAATGTCCACTAGTGGGGTGAGGGAAGTTATGTTAAAAAATATGTTAAAGTATATAAACACCATCAAGTTTAATAAGCAGTAGTAACATTAGGGTCACTTGGTAATAGCAAATGAGATGAAAGCCTTATTTCTCTACATAGGAGGGAACATAATAGAAGGCTGACTCTGACATGTGTTATGCTAGAGAAAACCAGATTCAGTTGGTGAGATTTAAATATCATTCATTGCTAGTAATGAACTTGATGTATAAAAGGGAATTAATAAAGCTAGAATTGAGTAGTAAAATCAACACAGTTCTCCTGGCATGGCTTTCATTTGTCTATTCAGTCTATTCATTCATCCCACAAAGAAGAGAGAGAAAAGAGAAAGGAGAGAGAGAGAGAGAGAGAGAGAGAGAGAGAGAGAGAGAGAGAAAGAGAGAGAGAGAGATATCAGGCACTGTTCTAGGCACAGGGTGTGCAACAGTAAAAACCGACAAAAATTCCTGTCTTTATGGAGATGACATTTTAGTGGATGAGACTGTCAATAAACAAAATATATAATATATTAAATTGTGGTATTATAAACCACCCCAAAACTTCAAAACTTAAAATAATGATTTATTATTTCCCATCATTCTGAGCTTTGATTGTGCAGCTCCTTGCCCGTCTGACTCATGGGCCTGCATTCCTGGCTCAGCTGGGAGAGCCGGGGTGCCACTGGAAGTTTCTGCTACAATTTTAACAGGTTCCTAGACTGAAGGGGGTGAGGTTAAAACTAGAAAAATCCATTTGGAGCCTAGGTCAGTGGAGGGGTAAGAGGGTTTGCGTATGAGTTGAATATGGGATGTGGCAGAAAGCAAAAGGACAAGGTTGATTCCGAGTTTTGGGGCCTGAGTCACTGGAAGGATGAATGTCCCACATCTCAGCTGGACACCCTCTGGAAGAGCAGGTTGTGGAGATCCTGAAGAGCTCAGCCTTGTACCTGTTCAGCTTGCACTGCCTATGAGGCATCCGAATGCAGCTCTTAAGTATTCTGCTGGATCTGGGGGCTGGAGCCCAGGGAAGAGGCCTTGGCTAGAGATCCTCATTGGGAGTCACCCAGTATATAAATGGCATTGAAAGCCGTGGGACTCGATGCGACACTCCGGGGGTAAGAGCAGGGAAGAACTGTAAGGACTGAGCCCTTGAAGTTGGGGAGGTGAGAAGTGCAGAGGAGAAGGAAGCAAGCCAGCAGAGGACGGTGTCCTAGCAGCCAAGTGAAGAAAGGGGGTCAAGAAAGACAGTGATTTGCCGTGGCAAATGCTGCTGGCAGGTCAAGAGAACTATCGTTAGTTTTATTTACTGTGCGTTGTTGTTGTGAAGCTGAAAAGGAACATTAAATGGAGTGAAAATTTTTTATTATAGTTATAAAAATGGATACTTAACAATGAAATGGTGTACTGTGCACAAAGGAAAAAAACTACCAAACATCTAGCAGTGTAGTCAGGTGAGTGGCACACTGGCATTTATTCTCCTGGAGGACAAAAAAAAAATCTGTTTGAGAGCTTAATGTTTTGTTTATTTCCAAATTTTTACAAGGTCTAATTTTTAGTTGCAAAATTGACCTTGAAATATTTCTGTTGGTTATCATGATGAAGGATACTGGAAATCACTACTGTGCTGTGCTGCGTGTTGGGGAGGGGAAGGGGAGAGACAAAGTTCATGTATCTTGGTTAACAGTGGTTAGACATACTATTTTAATAAAATATTGAAACTAAAAGGTTTGTTTTTGTTTTTAGCAATTTGGAGGTCACTAGGGAATTTGATAAGAGAAGTTTCAATGGAGCGGTATGATGAAACCCTGTTATAGTCAGTTCGACAGAGAGAACGAAAGGAGATAAGTTGAACATAGCCAATAGAATCTACTCTTTGGAGGAGTTTTGTTCAAGGTATGAGACCATGGGAGTGAGTGGTCAAGGGAGGGGTGGAGAGCACAAGATCACTGAGGACAGGAGGTCAGGGGATTGAGAGGCCAGAGTATTAGAAGCATCACCTCTGTGAATATTGAAATCACCAAGAATATCCAAAGAGCAGTGATGGAGACACTGAGAGGGTACAGAGCCAGCATCCTAATGGGATGAAGGGCTGTGAATGTGGGGCTACAAGAGGACTGTAGTGAGTGGTGGTCTAATGACATGAGATTGGAGTGGTGTTTTTAGGGAGAGAGACAGGAATGAAAAGAAATGAAGTCATCTTGCCCATTGCTAGGTCCAGTGATCTGAGGGGAACAGGAGTGTTTGCAGAAAAAGCATTGTTCTCAGGCGAGAACCAAGTGTTAGAAAAAGAGAGAAGGGAACTTACAAAGGAGGAGGAGGATGGAGGAAATGGTGTTGGTGTAATTGTCAGAGGAAGGGTTTCAGAAGTTGGAGAGGCGTGGGAGATGGAGGAAGAAAAGGAGATGTAAAGAACTAGTTGGGATTAGATTTAAGAAAAAGCAAGGTGACCTGGAAAGCCTGCCTTTCTTGTGTAGTCTGACGGACCTAGCTGAGATGAAGGCAGGATTAGGCTGATGGTCTCAAGCAGATGGTGGCCAGACTGAGTGTTGGGGCAGGGAGGGGTGCTGGCCTGTAGTGGGCACATAGGATGCTGGAGCTGCCCCTGGACCACTGAGACCACTGGACCCACTGAACCACTGAGTTGTGGGAGGTCTTATGCAGAGCACTTGGGCCCCTCCCACCTGGTCCACGTGGGTAGGGGCGGCAGAGGTTTGGCCTGCCCTGAGCTGGCAGGACCTGAGGCATTTTCGTGGTTAGATGGTGGGTTTGAGGGCTGCGGGTGGGGACTCCTTTTACTTTACACCCACCTAAGCTCCGAACAGCAGGGCTGTGGAGTTGGGAGGACTTCAGCACTCGTGAGTTTTATTCGCTGTCTGTGTGTACTCACAAGATCTCAGTTCTGGGCCATCTGTCCGACAGAAACCCCACACTACAGCCTCAGGGCTGTGAAACATAACAGATGGGAAAGACCCCCACTCCGTATCTTTTATCCTTAAGATTTAAACGCCTTGTTAGAAAAGCTACAAGTTCAGAGTTCAGTGAGGAATTTCAGGCTATCCTAAAATTTTTGCCTTATACATTTAAAACCCTGAAAAATGTTCCAGAAGAGAGTTGGAATGAATAAAATTTTCCCTTTAAAAAAGTCACCTCTTCCTTTACTTATTTCTTCTACATTTTGATAAACTTCCTGAAAATGTAGCATTTCTAATGAACTCCAAGGAGCTTTCTCAGATTACCTCCCCAGGGGACCAGAACAAGATGAGAAACACAATTATTTTGATTTGAGTGCTTTCGTGAAGAGTTGAACAATAAGGCAAATGGAACAACCATTAATAAGCCATTAATGCACTTTCTTGTATTTTCCACTTAGTAGCAAATGTAAACTAGTGTTGGATGTGGTCTTAAATAATATCATCACTTTTATAAAAATTCAGATTTATTTTACATGAACTGGAGAGATCTTGAGTGTATAGTTAGATGAGTTTTGACAAACAGATACACTCATGTAACTATCACCCAAACCAATGTATAGAACATCTCCATCCCCGATAAAAGCTTTTGTGCCTCTTCAATGCTCTCACCAAAAGGCAACCATTCTTCTATTTCTATCGATTCGTTTTGCCTGTTCTTGAGTTTCATATAAACAAACTCCTACTGTTAAGTACTCTTTTATTCCTGCATTCTTTTGCTCAACATAATGTTTTGAGATTCATCTGTGTTGTAGCATGTATCAGTAGTTTGTTCTTTTTGTTTTTTAAAATTTTACTGCCGAGTAGTATTTCATTCTATGAATATACCATTAATCTTCTGTTGACGGACACTTGGGTTATTTCCAGTTTGGGGCTATTATAAATATGAAAAAAAAAGCAGTTTTGAATATTTGTCTGTTTTTTTGTAGACATGTTTTCTTTCCTCTTAGGCAAATACCTAGGAATAGAATAGTTGGGTCTTAGGGTAGATGTATATTTAACTCTTTACTGCCTTACTGTTTGCCAGAATGGCTGTTCCATTTTTCATTCCCACCAGCAATCTAAGAGAATTCCAGGTCCCCCTGATCTTCACCAAGACTTGGTGTTATCAGTCTTTTTAACTTGAGCTAGTCTAAGGAGTGTGCAGAGGTATTTCATTGTGACTTTAACTTGCATTTCTGATGAGGAATGTTAGGTACCTTTTCACGTGCTAACTGCCTATTTGTATGCCTTCTTTTGTGCTGTCTTTTCAATTCTGTTGCGCAATATCCAGGTCTTTAAACTTTTGTTGAGAATATGGTCACATCAGGCAGTATTCTGTTGACTGATCATATTCCTTTAGAGAAGCTGAACCTGGCTGCTGTGGCTCAGTGGTTGAGCATTGACCTATGAACCTATCATGGTTTGATTCCAGGTCAGGGCACATGCTTGGGTTATAGGCTCGATCCCTAGTAGGGGGTGTGCAGGAGGCAGCAGATCAGATTCTCTCTCATTATTTATGTTTCTTTCTCTCTCCCTTTTCCTTCCTCTCTGAAATCAATAAAAATATATTTTTAAAAAAGATAGAATCTGAATATTGTGCAGATGTTGGCAGCAATGGCCAAAATAAGATAGCTAGGTAAGAGCATTAGATTTAGATCTTTCCAAACAGTTTAAATTTCTCGGGACAATTTTCTTTCTTTCTTTTTTTGTTTTTGTTAATAAAGCCTCATTACCATCCTTCACTGATGCTCAGTGCTACAAATAATCTAACATGTTTACAATTAACTTCTTACAAAATCCTTATTAAGAACAATTCGGAATGCTTTACCCATAATTAAAAACATTATTTTCAAAGTGCCAATTCTATTAAAGGAGCTTCCAAAAACGAATAAAATAATAGCATTTACCATGTACTGGAAATTATGCCCAGTTTTACATGCGTATTAATAAACCATTTAGTCTCCAGTGCTCAAAAAGATCTGGTAAGGTAGATATTGTACATGAGGAAACTCAGGTATGGAGAGGTGAAGTAACTTGCTCAAGGTCACACAAATAAATGGTGGCACTAGGATTCAAGTCTAGGTATTTTGGCTCTAGCGTATCAGAGTATCAACATGCAGATAAAATACTTTTTCTCTAAGATGTACTACATTGAACAAAACGTAACAGAAATGGAATGATGTAAAAATGGCAGAGGAGGAACTTCCATGCAAGTATTTCTCATGTATCACTCACATGTTCAATATAAAGCAGCTCAAGTTTTTAAAACGATTTGTACTTTAATTCTAATTTTCCTTATATCCAATCAGTAATATTTTCCCTTTAAATATTAATATTTTTTTAATAAGGGCTTACTAAAGTAAACATGAACATTTTCTAATTTTCTTTTCAGAGCATTACCTGAAGTCAGCCCTTGGCAGTAACTTAAAAAGCAACAAAGCATTTTAAAAATAGTTACCTTTCTTATCAGACGTCTATTAAACGTCTAAAGGAACACTTAAACATTCCTTTCTGTTCCTAATGGCTTCTACATTAGCTTCAGTCAAATAAAATAACTTTGAGCTTATTCTTTAGACCCCGAAGACTGCTGAGTGAGTGAATGTTCACCAACCATATATGTCCTAGGCATTGAAGACTCACTTAGGAGTTGTTCGCCTCTAAAGGAGTACATAGATCAGCGAGATTTGCTTCTCTGAACTCTTTTTAGGTTAGTAGCTACTCAAAAATCAGAACCCTTCTTAGGGTTTTATAGGATTTATTTTATATCTATCATTTTAGGATGTTTCTCATAGACTGTGGCACGAAGTATACAAGTTAATTGCCTGTACAAGCACTTTAACAGTGCTCCCAGATAGGCCAATACCACTTCTAAAGGGGATGTTTGGAAACGTGAGCTTTCTTTTGGGTGGCACAACGATCGGTGGCACCCCTGGCATTTGGTGGGTGGGGGCCAGGACAGTTCAAAGTCTTACAACATGTGGAACAATCTCACGTGAAGAAACATAGTTCAGCATCCTGTGTGACTTCCCAATGCCCATTCATGTAGTAGAAAAATCAGTTTATGATGATCTGAACCTAGAAACTAATGTTTTCATATAGTATAAAGTGCTGTTTTGCATAGTTTTAAGTAAAATTCATTGTTTCCAAACACGCAACATGTAAATCAAGACTGTATATTTGCTCAGAACTTTACTATGTACGATCCACCAATTTAGGGGGAAAAGTCTTATCAATAGAAATGTTTGTGTTTCTGAATCACAACAGTCTATATGGAGTTATTATCACTTACACACATAGTCTTCAGATGTAATTAAACCCAAGCATTTACATACTGAAATATAAAGGATTATAAATTACTTTCCTCTTATTTCTATTCTATGTACAATTAAGTTATTATATACATTTTAATGTCACTTCAGGATAGTAAAGGGGACTTTTTTATATAAAAAGGTAGTAATGGGCTTGATAGGGTCAATTTACTGACTCAGATGCCAGCCGTAATACAAGGCAACTTGCATAGATGGGAAATTAAATAGTTAAAGATGACAAATGTTCCCAATACACTAGTAAAATAAAATTCAACACTGTTTAACCACAAGGACAGAAAACCTGTTCAATGCTTAGCTTCTGCGTTGGGTCTCCTAATTAGATGTCACAGCTTGTTCTTTTGGCTGCAACTTTCAGATGGCTCTGCAGATGAGCTGATACCATTCCAGGGCGGGTAGGATCAGTGCTGCTCTGTCCCGTCCCTCCTCCTGTTCTATCCTCAGAGGATGACGTGTAATAGAAAGAAAGCTTTGTTAGGTGGCAGACAGGCAGGTTTGCTGTGGAAAATCAATTTATTACCACCATCCTCATTTCATTCATTTACATACTGTCACACTAAAATAACTCAACATTTTTAGTATTTCTCTTTACTTTAAAGCCAAATATTTGGTTCACTTTTTTATTTTTAAATATATTTTATTGATTTTTTACAGAGAGGAAGGGAGAGGGATAGAGAGTTAGAAACATTGATGAGAAACATCGATCAGCTGCCTCCTACACACCTCCTACTGGGGATATGCCCGCAACCAAGGTACATGCCCTTGACTGGAATCGACCCTGGGACCCTTCAGTCTGCAGGCCGACGCCTTATCCACTGAGCCAAACCGGTTAGGGCTGGCTCACTTTTTATAGATACAACTTTTTAAAAAGGTCCAAAAGCTGCTAAAATAGTTCATTGCCCATGACAAACACAAATAGTCAAACATATTTATACTAGAGGCCCGGTGCATGAATTCGTGCACAGGTGGGGTCCCTTGGCCTGGCCAGCGATCAGGGCTGTCTCATCCAGTCCCGATTGGGGTGATGGGGGCTGGCTGGCACGGGGAGGGACCATAGGAAGGCTCCAGGGTGTGTCTGGCCCTCTCACCCAGTCCCAATCGGCCAGACCCCAGCAGCAAGCTAACCTCCTGGTTGGAGCGTCTGCCCCCTTGTGGTCAGTGTGCGTCACAGTGACTGGTTGAATGGTTGACTGAATGGTCAACTGATCGGTTGGACACTTAGCATATTACACTTATTATATAGGATATTGTAATTTTTTCAGTGGACACTTGTGAAAAAATATATAAGCAAAAATTTCCAGAGAAATCTGATTAGTAATAGCCAATGTGAATGCATACAGAATTTTAATTTTTATTATACTACAGGCCCAGTGCAGATTCCTGCACCAGTGGGGTCCCTCAGCCTGGCCTGTGCCCTCTCACAATCCGGGACCCCTTGGGGGATGTCAGACTGCCGGTTTTGGCCCAATCCCCGCAGACCAAGATCACAGGGATCAGGCCGAAGACCAGGGAGGAGCTGGAGCCCAGGCCAGGCACCACACCGCTTCTGCTCATCTCAGCCCTGCTGCGCCTGCTACTGCTGCCGCTCGGTAGTTGCTGCAGAGGCAGGAGAGGCTTGCACCTGTCTGTCAGTGAGCAGTGCTCCGGCTGTGGGAGCGCACTGACCACCAGGGGGCAGCTCCTACGTTGTGTCTGCCCCCTGGTGGTCAGTGCACGTCATAGCAACCCGTCGACCAGTCATTCGGTCGCTTGGGCTTTTATATATATAGATTTTCATATTTTATGTATGCGTATTAGATGTAAAGATTCATAAATTGTTATAAATTAACCTTCACTAAATGTGAATGAGTGGGATAAGATTTTCTTACACTTTTATGTTTCTAGGTAATAAACTTAACACTTTCTTATTACCAACTAGAGGCCCAGTGCATGAATTCATGCACAGGTGGGGTCCCTTGGACTGGCCTGCGATCGAGGCCTATCAGGCTGACTGACTGGCAGGGGAAAGGGACTGTGGGAGGTTGGCTGTGGGAGCGCAATGACCACCAGGGGGCAGCTCCTGCATTGAGCGTGTCATAGCGACTGGTTGACTGGTCTTTCCAGTTGTAACAGTCGCTTAGGCTTTTATATATATATATATGGAAGAGCATATAAATATTTTTTTCTAATGAAATAAAAGCATTCACTTGACAAATCAGTTTATTAATATCAAGTTTAAGGTTGTGCATAAAATTGCAATAATGACAATTTAAATGAAGTAAACAGAATAAATTGTTTATTAAAACACTGTGTAATAAAATAAACTTTTTTTGATCCGATGCTAGAGTGGTAAACATTTCCCCCTTATTAACAGTCCACCTGAAACAGTTAAATTATACCATAATCTGGTTAAAACTTGAAAATACCCCTGTTCTTTCCCACTGAATGACTGAACAGTGAGGTGTGCAGATCTAGGGTTTTCTGATGAGTCAATGATAGAGAACGATAACCTAAAAGACAAGCAAAATACCATATGCCCAAAGATGAAATCTTATTTACCCTGTTCTCTGGCCCAAACTTAAAATTGTCATATCAAATAAATATTTAATGAATCACCCCCTTTCCTGTCTAAAATAAATATCAAGAACAAATTAAGGATAAGAGTTGGGTTTTAAACTGCATTTTATTTGTTACTATAACATTGTCTTTTTTTTTAACTGATCAACCTTAAAGCATGCAAAAGTTCACTTCCAACGGAACTGCTTCCACAGCCCCTTACACATCAATAAGTAAATTATAAAGGTCAATTTGTAGTTCTCTCCTCCTTTATAGCACTTCTAAGCAGTGTGACACATACCACAGAGACAGGAAAGGCCATCTTTAATAAATTATCTTCTTAATTGTAGAGAATTTCTGAAAATGAAACTGACAAAATGCTAACCCAATGCCTTGGATGAGTCCTCAAGGACCAAAGATCCATCTCCTCCTATTGGAAGACTTAGTCCTCCGGAGTGTCCTGGCCGTTGTAGGGCACTTGATAAGGCGATCCACCAGGGCTCTGGACAAATGCACTAAGAAGCCCTTTCACCACTCTCATTTGCCGATTCTTTGGACCACCCAGTCTTGCTGGCAGAGAGGGCAGCGATTGTTCTGTTTCACCCACAGGGACATGCAGCAGTTGTGGAAGGAATGATTACATTCTCCCCAGACCACTAAAAGGAGGGGAAAAAAAGATTATTTGACATTAGACATTTGACATTTCAATTTAAATGACCGAGCTCAAATACATAGCTTATTTTATATTATGAATAATAATCATAGTTCATAATCTCAAATAAAAATGATAAATTGGTCAAAATAATTTTTTCTACCTGTAAAGAAACAGAAACTTACATGTGTAAGGTTTGTGCTTAGGGGACGTCCCACCACAGCTCTAGAATTTGTGAATGATGTGGTGGCCCTGGTTCCTATACAGCTCCATATGCTGTCTTCCTGAAGTTAGGAGATTAAAGGACTTGAGTCTTCCTTAGATCCCAGACCTGAGTTCTCAGTCATGCACTGACCTTGGAGATGTTTTGGCTTTATTTTACTAAAAAATATCCTCCTGATTTTTATTTATTAAGATATGAGTTTTAAGTGTTTTCAAGTTCATAAGTAGGTATTATGAATAGATGACATGCTTCTAAATATTATCAGCTGTACATCTGCTGAGTTGTTTCCTAGAAGTGCTGATAAATTGTGTTGTTATCAATAAGCAGTGCAATTTCTCATGTGACAAACAATGAAATTTTCAAAGTGGCTGTCTGGAAAGAGAGGTCTCTTTGTGATCAAAGAAAGATGGTCTATACCCCACAATTACCAAATTAATGTGTTTTTTAAAACAGCATGAAAGAAAAATTTTAAACTAAGGGAAATCACCCACAATCTGGACTACAATCTGAAATGTGAGCTTCATCTGTCCCTTGCTTGACCATCTGAGCTATATGATAACAGAACAATTAAGACATAGGAATAAAAAAAGAAAAAAACTTCTTATGAAAATAGGCTGTAGAAGGTAGAAAGCAAGAATCATTCTAGTGTTTCAGAAGAAAGAAACAGGACTTGATCAAAATGGCATAGATCATTAATAAAAAGCTGTATATAAGTCCTGGCCAGGGGGCTCAGTTGATGGGAGCATCGTCCTGTATACCAAAAGGTTTTGGGTTCGATTTCTAGTCAGGACACATACCTAGGTTTCAGGTTCGATTCCTGGTATGGGAGGTAACGATATTTCTTTCTTTCATTGATGTTTCACTTTCTCTCTCTCCGTCCCTCTCTTCCTTCTCCTCTCTCTCTCCCTCCCTCCCTCCCTCTAAAAAAAAAAAAAAAAAATCAATAAAAACATATCCTGTAAACCACACCAGCACAAAGTACAAAGATAACTTTTCATTCTAGGAAAAACGTTTAAACCCGTATATAAAGCAATCTAGAAGTGATGATTTCAAGAACTGGGATATACATACCTTTGAACTGCTTAAAACATTTAGCCAAGACAACTTTTGTAGTCCAAGACTATAAGGAAAACTTAATATGTGTGTGTATGTATGTGTGTGTGTGTGTGTATAATGTATATATATATGTATATATACTATATTTCAAAAAAAGGCTTACAATTTTTCTATCTCAATTAAAAGTTAAACACTCTATCATAAGAGTACTGAAAACTGAAATGCTTTAGTAGAATGAAACTCTACCAAAACTGACCTATAACATACTCAAAATTTTAATGATGCTTTGGCAAATTCCTTCTTATATAATTTTCTTAATAGAAGAGGATTATTCACTTTTTTGATTATCAAAATATTTACTATGCCCATGTCTGGAATACTTATATAACCAATTCTTCTTAATTACAGACAATAAAAAACAAACAAACTTGCAGATGAATTCCATTAAGGCCTCTGAGAACCAACACATTTTATATTAATAATGGATTACTGCTTTACAGCTTATTTTTGTGTATTGATAAAGTCAAACTTAATAGCAAATTCAAACATCCCCACTGAGAGAAAACCTTCAGTTGAAAAAGCATTAGAATGAAATTACAACATACCAACACAATCCTCTTGTTTGTTTTCAGCTTGACATCTAAGACAGGCATCTAAAAGTAAACAAACAGCAATTCTCATTCTGATGCTCAGAATGCAATTTTTAAAATCCAGACGCTTCAAAGTCAAAAAACGCCCAAAGGGTTAGAGATGGAGATAAAAGGCTCATTCTATTAGTTTCTCATTTGAACATAACTGTTTAAACAGGAATAAAGTACAAGGCACTCTACTAATCTACTTCTGACCAGGAGCAATTTTACCAGGGTTACTGACCCTCTATTTTTACAAGCTCTGATGAAAAGATGTCCTGCCAGTGGATGCAACAACTAGAGAATACTTCACTCTATTAGAAGTTATTATAAGCTCACTGGGCATGCTCATATAGCTCAACCTTAGGGGTAGTTTATTTTCCAGACACCCTTTTAAATAAGCTATGCACATGGGATATAAACTACAGCATAGTGAATGGTCAATACTATAATAACTATGTATGGTGCCACATGGGTACTGGAAATATTGGGGTGAACACTTTGCAAAGTATATTATTATCTAACCACTATGCTGCTGTACAAAATATAATACTGAATGTAAACTATACTTGAATAAATAAAATTTAAAAAATGAGCCATGCATATATATTGGTATTTGCTTATACATACATAAAGAAACTTTAGAAGGATACCCAAGAAACTAATAATAGAGTTTACCTGGAGGGGACTGAGTGGGAAGGAGTTTTCATTGTATACTGTCTTAAAATTTTGAATTATGTGATTGTATAATCTATATAAATATTAAATTAAAATTAATTACAAATACTTTCTAAAAACTAGGAGTTTTTCTTCTTCTAAGAAAATGCTTCCTTTACAAACTAAGTCTGAGCCCATTTAACCAACAATGGCAAAATATTTTAATAAATTACTTGGGAGTAAATACTAGGAATGGGAACCTAAAGTATACTAGGTTGCTTGATGAAGAAGGTAATACAGAATATATATGCTTGGTGAAGGAGGTAAAATAGATTATTTTAGGGACTAACTAAATGGATTCATTCACTAGCTGGAAGAAGAGTCAAAGTTGGGTAACGGAAGTTCAAACCAACAGAAAAAAAAATTTTAACTGGAGAAAAATAATTCAGTAAAAATAGACATACGGTGGAGCTGAAGCCTGTTCTTCTTACACTGGATTATGCACAGGCTCTTGTTTGCTTCTCTCTGCATGTTTTTACCCTAAAAAAACACACCACCCTGGCCTCTTCAGTGTGGACTAAAAACAACATTGCCTCCTAAGACTTTCTTCAACTCCATAATTACTAAGTATCTGCTCTGTGAAAGGAGTTATATGCACAGGAGACACCAAAATGACGAAGTCTGGATTCCTGGTCTTCACAGCAAATAGGGAGACAGACAGGCAAACGACTGAGTATCTTAAGGATCCCGATGTAACAGTGAAGATGAGGCTCTGGTTCTGTGCAATCACAGAATTAGAGTTTGTGATCCCAACTGCCTCTTTCACAAACGAGGAAAAGAAGGCCCCAAAGGGTTGTGTCAAATGTCCAAGTTAACATACAGCCATGAAGGGTCACTCTGGCTCTTTATAACTTGGCAGCACAAGCAAAAGCCTTCCTCTCTGCCTCAGCAGCACTTGCTCCTTTCAGAATGAAGGCAGGAGAGTGGAAACCAACAGTGTTAACCACCTCGGAATAGGTTGACAGGCAAAGCATGGATCAAGAAGTCACAATAAATCAGTTGTGTATGAGATGAATTCCAAACATTAAGGAAATAGGATTAAGTGGGCTCTTTTTTTTTTAGGATCTAGAAATCTCTGAATTACGCTTATAGCTTTGATTTAGACGATCAAACACTGACCTAAGTAGATAAAAATTCCCTAAGTTTCAGATTTAAAAAAGTTTCTTTTGATGACGTTCCTAATATCTGAAACAGCACATTTCTAAGCAGTACAATAACACTAACACCTTTTAGAATGATGAGGGTGAGGGCTGGGAAGTCTGAAAAACAAACTTCCTCCTGCTGTCAGCTGACCTCTAAGTGGGTTTTAACACCTCGTAAACAAAATACAAAGGTCCAGCCCAGAACACCTTCCAGAACTCAAAGTATAGCTGCTGTAATCTGCAACATTAATCCACAGGAGCAGAACCTTGCTATCATCAGAAAGTCAAATGTGCTGTTTCAGATATTAGGAACGTCATCAAAAGAAACTTTTTTAAATCTGAAACTTAGGGAATTTTTATCTACTTAGGTCAGTGTTTGATCGTCTAAATCAAAGCTATAGCGTAATTCAGAGATTTACTTACAGACCATACTCTGACTTACTTTCAATGTCCCAAGTACAGTTTATTTGTTGCAAGATAGCAACCAGGACTTTAATTCCATATTTCTACTTCCTAGTTTAAATTTTTTTTTTCCTTTGGGGAGAAGAATAAAATGCCTTTTTAGGAACATTCTTCTTTTTCAACTAAAGGAAATTTAGGTGACAAAATGTTCAGCAAAGCCTGCCTTGCTAAAGAACAAAAAGTGAAGTCAGCTACGTAAGTTAAAAATGCCAAAGTGGAAAACATGATTCCAGTTGTGAAGTAAGGCATAAGTTATGTGGTAAGGGGACTGTACTGCAGGCCAATCAACTCGGTACTTTTTAAACCTAAATATGCAACATAAGTGGATCACGTCTGAAATCAAGCTCTTTCGAAAAGTGAAACATAAAAAATATCTGGATCCCACTGCTGTAAGTCCTCTCGGGAACAAGCCCTTCTGCATAAACGACTAGCCGGCTCGCTAACGAGGGTAAACTGAGGAACCTCCTGCTTCTGCTGGATTGCAAGTCTTCCTCCCGCAAGAAGGGAGAGCCATTCTCCTTTAAGTTATGTTCTCCAATTCTCTCATTTTTCCGGGCAAGACACAAAGTTTTAAAACGACAGGAACCTCGGTTTTCTTCGTCTACCCTCAGGAAAGGACAGGTGAGAAGCTCTCGGAGCTTCTTAAATGTCAATGCCCTCTGGAAACCTGCAACCGGCGGCTCAGCAGCACCGCGTTTCCAAGGTGGCCTGAGCGCTCACAACAGAAACCAGACGCGGCGACAGGGGCGAGGCGGTCACGCGAGGGCTCGCTCGGCCCCCGTCTTTACTCCTGAAACCACGGGAGGAAGCAACCCCTCCGAGCAGGGCGGGCGCTCCCAGGGGATGGCACCCTGCGACAGGCAGGGCCCGCGGGGAGGTGAAGGTCCGAGTGTCTAAGTCAGGGGCTTCGCGTTACTCAATTCCCACGAAACGGGAACATTCCGGCACCGCCCTGCGCTCCCGGCGGCCGAGCGCGCGC